TCCTGCTACTTTGCCAAATTCATTTATTAAGTCTAATAGATTTTTGATGGAGTCTTTAGGGTTTTCTATGTACAATATCATGTCATCTGCAAATAATGACAGTTTCACTTCCTCCTTTCCAATTTGGATCCCTTTTATTTTTTCTTCATGTCTGATTGCTGTGGCTAAGACTTCCAGTACAATGTTAAATAAGAGTGGCGAAAGTGGACATCCCTGTCTTGTTCCTGTTCTTAATGGAAATGTTTTTAGTTTCTGTCCATTGAGTATGATGTTGGCTGTAGGTCTTTCATATATGGCCTTTATTATGTAGAGATATGATCCCTCTATTCCTACATTGCTGAGCATTTTTATCAGAAATGGATGCTGGATTTTGTCGAATGCTTTTTCAGCATCTATTGATATGATCATGTGGTTTTTATTCTTCATTTTGTTTATGTGGTGTATCACGTTTATTGATTTGTGAATATTGTACCAGCCTTGCATCCCTGGAATGAATCCCACTTGGTCATGGTGAATAATTTTTTTGATGTATTTCTGGATCCGATTTGCTAGTATTTTGTTCAGGATTTTGGCCTCTATGTTCATCAGGAATATTGGCCTGTGGTTTTCTTTCTTCGTAGTGTCTTTTTCTGGTTTTGGAATTAGAATTATGCTGGCCTCATAGAACGTGTTTGGAAGTCTTCCTTCTTCTTGAATTTTTTGAAATAGTTTGAGGAGAATGGGTGTTAGTTCTTTTTTGAATGTTCGGTAAAACTCCCCCGTGAAACCATCTGGGCCTGAGCTTTTGTTTGCTGGGAGAGTCTTGATTACCTCTTCAATTTCCTTAGTTGTTATTGGTCTGTTCAAGTTTTCTATCTCTTCCAGGAATAGTTTTGGAAGACTGTGTGTTTCTAGAAATTTGTCCATTTCGCTTAGATTGTCGAATTTGTTGCCATATAGTTGTTCATAGTAGTTGTTAACGATCTTTTGTATTTCCGTGGTGTTGGTTGTTACTTCTCCTCTTTCATTTCTGATTTTGTGTATTTGGGTTCTCTCTCTTTGTTTCTTGGTGAGTCTAGCTAAGGGTCCATCAATCTTGTTTATCTTTTCGAAAAACCAGCTCTTTGTTTCATTGATCCTTTGAATTGTTTTTTTGGTCTCTATGTCATTTATTTCTGCTCTGATCTTTACTATTTCCTTCCTTCTACTTGCTCTGGGGTTTTCTTTTTGTTTGCTTTCTAATTCTTTAAGTTGTGAGGTTAGATAGTCAATTAGAAATTTTTCTTGTTTTTTGAGGTAGGCCTGTAGTGCTATGAACTTCCCTCTCAGAACTGCTTTCGCTGCATCCCATAGATTTTGTGTTGTTGTGTGTTCATTTTCGTTGGTTTCCAGGAAGTTTTTGATTTCTTCCTTGATCTCCTCGGTGACCCATTCATTGTTTAATAACATGCTATTTAGCCTCCATGTGTTGAAATGTCTTTGCATGTTCTTGTTGCAATTGATTTCTAGTTTCATGCCATTGTGATCTGAGAAGATGCTTGATATGATTTCAATCTTCTTGAACTTGTAGAGATTTAGTTTGTGTCCTATCATGTGGTCTATCTTTGAGAATGTCCCATGTGCACTTGAGAAGAATGTGTATTCTGTAGTTTTGGGGTGTAATTCTCTGTAGATATCTATTAAATCCATTTGGTCTAGTGCTTCATTTAGAGTCTCTGTTTCCTTGCTAATTTTTTGCCTAGAGGATCTATCCAGTGCTGTCAACGGGGTGTTGAAGTCCCCTGCTATGATTGTATTGTTGTCCATTTCTCCTTGGAAGTCCTCCAGAAGATTTTTAATATATTTTGGTGCTCCTATATTGGGTGCATATATGTTTATCAAGGTTATATCTTCCTGTTGGATAGATCCTTTCAATATTATGTAGTGGCCGTCTTTGTCTCTAGTTATGGTCTTCATTTTGAAATCTATTTTATCAGATATGAGAATTGCTACCCCAGCTTTTTTTTGCTTTCCATTGGCTTGGAAAATTTTTTTCCATCCCTTTACTTTCAACCTATGTGAGTCTTTTGTTGAGAGGTGGGTCTCTTGTAGACAACATATAGATGAGTCATGCTTTCTTATCCAATCAGCTACTCTGTGTCTCTTTATGGGAGCATTCAATCCATTAACGTTTAAGGTGACTATTGATATGTACTTATTTATTGCCATTTTTGTTTAGTGTGGTTCTATTTTTCTTCCCATTTCTACTGCTAATTACAGCAGTCCTTTTAACATTTCTTGCAGTGCTGGTTTGGTGCTAATGTATTCCCTTAGCTTTTTTTGTCTGGGAAGCTCTTTATTTGATCTTCTATTTTGAATGATAGCTTTGCTGGGTAGAGTAGTCTTGGATTCAGATTCTTGTTTTTCAGGACTTTGATTACTTCATGCCATTCTCTTCTGGCCTGTAGTGTTTCTTGTGAGAAGTCAGCTGAGAGCCTTATGGGGTTCCCTTTGTAGGTAACCTGTTGCTTATCTCTTGCTGCTTTTAGGATTCTCTCTTTGTCTTTAATTTGTGGCATTTTAATTACTATGTGTCTTGATGTGGGCCTGTTTGGGTTCTTCTTACTTGGGACTCTCTGTGCTTCTTGAACTTGAATGCCGTCTTCCTTCACCAAATTAGGGAAGTTTTCTCTCACTATTTTTTTGAATATATTCTCTATCCCTTGGTCCTTTTCTTCTTCTTCGGGGACTCCTATGATGCGAATATTATTACATTTCCAGTTGTCCCATAGTTCTCTTAAGCTGTCTTCCTGTTTTTTAATAGTTTTTTCCTTTTGTTTTTCTGATTGGTTGATTTTTTCTACCCTGTCTTCTAATTCACTGATCCGGTCCTCAGCTTCCCCTACTCTGCTTTTTAAACCTTCCAATGTGTTTTTCATTTCGGATATGTCATTTTTTATCTCTTCTTGTTGGTTTTTAATTTCCATTTGGCTTATTTTCAGTGTCTCTATGTCCTTACTCATGCTGTTCAGCTTCCTCAAGATCATGGCTCTGAATTCTAGCTCTGTTAACATGCCTAATTGCTCCACATTGATCTCATCTTCGGTGGAGGTGTCTTGCTCTTTCATTTGGCTTCTGTTTCTGTGTTTCACCATTTTGGCTATCACTGTGGGCTTTAGAGCCTGTCTAGTTCTCCCTGTGGGTGTTGGTGTTCTGCTGTTTGTGGCTCCCTCTCCTGTGTTTGATGAGCGAGGGAGGACCCACGTTGAACACCACTGTCAAGTCTTACTTTCCTGGTTAAAGTTGCCAGCCCAGGAAAGGTACTGTTATCCTCTAGCTTTTTGCCTGGAGGCTAGCAGTCTAGGTTAATTGATGAGTTTTGGGTTGTCAGTTGATTGAAAAACTCCCTCTAGTGCTCAGCCAAGGGGCTTTTACGAGGGTGTGGCAGATGCTGGTTGTTAGTGAGCCTCAATTAACACTTCAATGGCCCACAGGGTGGGGTTGGATCTCCGAGGGAGGGGCTACTGCCTCTCCCCAGAGCCCTGGGAAGGAGCAATGTGGCCACCGTCCTGAGTGGCTGCACTCAGCCAAAGCTCCGATATCCCTCCAAACCCCAAGTGTCCCGACACAGTTCCAGTCCAGTCTACCTTCCTTCCGCCGGAGCCCAAGGTGAGTGGCTGTGGCTGTTTCAGCCTCTGTCCCGGCTGCACTGTGGGGCTGCCTGGGAGTGTAACCCGAGGGCGCTGCTCCCAGCTAAGGCCGCTGCCGAGCTGCCGACCGTGCGCTCCCAGCCCCGTCTCGCGCCTTCGCAATCCTACCGGGATGGAGTCAGTGTCCCTCGTTGTATGGTCCTCGCAAGCTGCTTTTCTGTTGGTTTATCCCGTCGATTTGTCTGTGTTATAGTTGTAATTCCAGTTTGGTTCTGGGAGACGGTCTGTGTAGCTCCGTTCACTCCGCCGCCATTTTTCGGTTCCTCTTGAATTGTTTTTTTAGTCCCTAAGTTATTTATTTCTGTTCTGACCTTTGCTATCTTTCCTTCTACTTGCTCTGGGTTTTGTTTTTGTTTGCTTTCTAGTTCTTTAAGTTGTAGAGTTAAAGAGTTAATTAGAATTTTTGTTTGTTTGTTTCTTGAGCTAGACCTGTAGTGCTATGAACTTTCCTCTCAGGACTGTTTATGCTTTGTCTCATGGGTTTTGTGTTGTTGTATGTTAATTTTCATTGGTTACCAAAAAGGTTTTAATTTTTTCCTGATCTTCTAGGTAAGCTATTTGTTGTTTAATAACATCCTATTTATTGTTTAATAACATGCTATGTGTTTGAGTATTTTGATTGTAATTGATTTCTAGTTTCATGCCATTATAATCTGAGATGATACTTAATATGGTTTCAATCTTCTTGAACTTGTAGAGACTTAGTTTAGGTCCTAACATGTGGTCTATCTTTGAGAATGTCGCATGTGCCCTTGAGAAGAATATAAATTCTGCAGTTCTGGGATGTAAGTCTCTGTAGATATCTATTAAATCCATTTGATCTAGTGCATCACTTGGAGTCTCTGTTTCCTTGTTAATTTTTTGTCTAGAGGATCTATCTAGTGATGTCAGCAGGGTATTGAAGTCCCCTTCTATGATTGTATTGCTGTTGATTTCTCCTTTGAAATCATCCAGAGGTCTGTTAATATATACTGGTGCTCCTATATTGGGTGTGTATATGTTTACCAAGGTTATATGCTCCTCTTGGATAGATCCTTTCAATGTTATGTAGTGGCCTTCTTTTTCACTAGTTATGGCCTTCAATTTGAAGTCTATTTTATCAGATGTGAGTATTGCTACCCCAGCTTTTTTTTTCCTTTCCAATTGCTTGAAAAAAAAATTTTCCATCCCTTCACTTTCAACCTATGTGAGTCTTTTATTGTGAGGTGGGTTTCTTATCAATTCAGCTACTCTATTTACCTTTAAGGTTATTATTGATATGTACTTATTTATTGTCATTTTGTTTATTCTGGTGATGTTTCTCTACCTATTTCTTCTGCTTATTACAGCAGTAAAAATATGGAATGCTTCACAAATTAGCGTGTCATCCTTGTACAGGGCCATGCTAATCTTCTCTGTATCGTTCCAATTTTAGTATATGTTCTGCTGAAGCGAGCACGTTGTTTGCCTTTTTAAAAGGGGGGGTTTGCGCCCAACCAGTGTGGCTCAGTGGTTGAGCGTCAACCTGCGCACCAAGAGGTCCACGAGTTCGATCCCCAGTCAGGGCACATGCCCAGGTTGTGGGCCAAATCCCCAGTGAGGGGCTTACAGGAAGCATCCAATCGATGTTCTCTTTCATCAATGTTTCTATTTCTCTCTTCCTCTCCTTTTAAAATCAATAAAGAAAAAATAATAAAGTAAAAAAAAGGAGGGGGGTTAGAGGTAGAACAAATAGTATATTCTGTGTATCTCATATCTCAATGGGGCTACCATCCAACTGTTTGTTTCCTTTCAGGAAAAAAGTTTGATGAGTTATACTCCCTTCTCTTTCTTCTTCTTCTTCTTCTTCTTCTTCTTCTTCTTCTTCTTCTTCTTCTCTCTTTCTCTCTCTTTCTCTCTCTCGCTCTCTCATTTTTAATATGTGAACTATGAACTATATTAAAAATAAGAACATATACAATAATATTCATAAATATAAAATGATCATCTATATAATCACTGCCAAGATCAAGAAATAAAACATCCTTAATACACAAAAGCCCAAATCATGCCCTCTCATACCTCACTAGAACTCACCAATGTTTTTATTTTCATGGTGCATTCTTTCATTCTTCCTTATTAAAAATGGTTATATTTTTCTATAAGGTTACTTTCTTGGTTCGTATTGACTTTTAGGGTAGTCTTACTATATTCAGTTAGGCATTTCTGTCTATGGAGAGAACACATGATTTTTTTCTGATCTCTTCCTCTATGGTTCAGTGGCCCAGCACCATTAGGCAATTGAACCTCTGATCACTGAACTCCAAGGATCCCTGGGAATATCTCTCATTCCCATTCTCTCTCTCTCTCTCTCTCTCTCTCCACCCCCCCCCCACTCCCTATATCTCCTCCGCTATCCCTTCCTTCTCCTTTCCTCCTCTCTTCTTTTTGCATCCCAATATCCCATTGGTTTCTAACAAAACACTTTGACTTTGTATTTCTTTTAGAGGAATTCTTGACCACAAATCAGGGGAGGACATTTTTCCTTGACCTGCTTGAATTAATAGATTGTTTTTTGAGGGCTTAAATGTTTGAGAACCCTAAAATATCAGTCAAGGCATTTCAACAATGTTCTTTTTATTCTACTTAAGATAACATCAGGTAATAACAAGGTGATTACCTATTGATGAGGAAGTCTCTACACTCAAAAATATGTTAAAACACCAAAGTTTAATTTTATCAGCCCACTCATATCACAGAAAAAAAACAAAACTAGAGATATTTGTACCCAGTCAATTTCTGTGAGCATGACCAGGTCACTATTCTCTCTCTTTATTGATGACTTGCTTTATGTGTTTTTTACATCCCTAAGCTGAGAGCAGTGACCTCTAATTATACCCTGCCTTTCCTCGCTAAGGTAATGGGAACTTAGAGTACTCTGTAGTAATCAGAAAGTAATCCAACACTATCACATGTAGAAGAATGTAGACCATCTCAGGCTTTATTTTCTCTTTATGGAAGATACTCTGGATGTAGAAATTGAATGGCCTGAGCCATGCTGAATCAACCTTCTTTAGGTATTCTATCACGTTCATTTCTATTATTTATTGAATTGGCATATGTTAGATGGTCAAATTCCTGGACTGTGGAACAAGATATATCATTAGTGAGTTCTTGAGCATATATCTCACATCCTCTCCCACTGTATTTAATTTCAGCCTTTGGAAAGAGGATCTAGAAAATCTCACAGGTCTTTTCTGTTTTCCCTTTCATTTTATCTCCACTTGAGGAAGTGCGTAAAGAGCTTATCATGGCCCTGGCTGGTTTGGCTCAGCGGTTAGAGTGTCGGCCTGCGGTCCAGAGAGACCCGGGTTCGGTTCCTGCTAAGGGCATGTACCTCGGTTGCAGTTTATCCCCAGCCCTGGTTGGGTTGTGAAGGTGGCAACCACTCGATGTGTCCCTTTCACATCAATGTTTCTCTCTCTCTCTCTCTCTCTCTCTCTCTCTCTCTCTCTCTCTCTCTCCCCCCTCCCACTCTATTTGAACAAAATATCAAAAAAAAAAAAAAAGAGCTCATCATGTATTAGAAGGGAAAAAAAATTGGGGAAAATACAGGGATGAAGGGGAGGGGAAAAAATCCAACAAAAGCTGATGAATCAGCCAGGTCCTGGCAGGACACAGATGACCCACTCAGGGGTACTGAAGAGCATTTAATGGGGGACTGTTTACAAAGACATAGCACAGCACAAGGAACCAATGTGGGATGAGGATGCATCCAGAAAGTGGCAATAGCAATGGCCAGGTAGACACCATAACTACTGTTGCCAGAAGAGGCAAGCAAAAAGTAAATAACAGAATGTGGCAAAGACCAGAGATATGAGATGGAACTAAATGAAAGGGCTGTGACCGAAGACAGAGGAACAGAGGCAGTGGGACACCAGGGCTCACTAGGAGAAAAGCCAGGGGAACACATGCTTGATCTGTGGTCTCCTGCTGGTTGAATTCCAACCTGAAGGACAAGGGAGCTCTTCAGTGTCAGAAAAAAACATAAAGGTCAAGCCCTGGCAGAGGTACTTAATTGATTAGAGTGTCTTCCCATACAACAAAAGGTCATGGGTTTAATACTGGATCAGGGAACATACCTAGGTTGCAGGTTTGGTCCCAATTTGAGACCTGTACAAGAGGCAGCCAATGGGTGTTTCCCTCTCACCTCGATGTTTCTCTCTCTGTGTCTCTCTCTGTCTCTTTCTGTCTCTCTCTCTCTCCTTGCCTTCCTCTCTGTAAAATCAAAAACATGTCCTCTGGTGAAGAATATATATATATATATATATATATATATATATATATATAGAGAGAGAGAGAGAGAGAGAGAGAGAGAGAGAGAGTTTATGTTAATTCTGTAATGTTCATAGCTTGAACTATTGATAGTATGAAGTGAATAGAGGACACAAAGTGTTTCTTGAGAAAGCCCTTCATGTGTATAAAGGTTAGATTGGCTGTCCTTGCTGAAATCAAAGCAACCTTCCTCCCAACCCGGCACTTGCATTCCGACAAGTTTATCCAAGGTATCCTGTGGGCAGCCTGGACCAGCTGCTGTTACTGTATATGGCTTTCCCCTCTTCCTTTGCAGGTTTCCCTCTGGGATCCATGGTGAGGTCTGAAACCAAGGGCATCTGGATGTGGTGTGTGCCGCACCCCTCTGAGTCGAACCACACTCTGGTCCTTCTGGACACTGAGGGCCTGGGCGATGTGGAAAAGGTAAAGCAGAGAATCTTCTTTGCTCTTCATACCCTACTTACATTTTAATTTGCCACATCAATTCAACTTTTATGATGTATTTTTCTAAACTACAAATTCAATTATGAATTATGAGGCTCATTTCTGTTTCACTGAATTTATTTACTTGGTAAACTCAATACTTTGATTAGGAATAGATCTTTTTATTTTTATACTGGAGCAAAAGATACAAGTCAAATACTCATTGAGCAGCTGCATTCAAGGCTTTGTGTTAAGTACTACAGATATGACAGTGAGTGAGCCTAGTTGAGGAGATAGATAATATGCAGTGTTATCAGAACAGAGCACCATGGATACAAAACTTGAGACCCTAAACCTGGTTCCTGAAAGAAGCTATAACCATGGGATCTACTAGTTAAGTTGTGTCAGGGTAGTGGAGTTGAAGGTAGGACCCATAAAAATGAGTTACAGTGAAATAAATAATCTTTATAAATTATCTCCAGAAACGCTTTAGCTACACCAGGAATATTTATTCTTTGAAGATGAATTGTGCACTAACTTCTATAAAAACATAAGTTAGACCCACCAAAGCACTATTTGGGATAATATAAGTATTTTGTATTTATAATGTTACTTGCAATTTAATATTTTCTCCTTATTTATATTAGTGTGAGTCTAAGTTGAAAGTGGCACCAATGAATTTTGGCTTCCAATACTGCAAAATAAGGGGAGGGGGATAAATTTAGAAAATCTGAATTTAAAAAGTATTCAATAATCAGCTCAATGTACAGCCAAGATAGTCTGATGGTGTCTAATAGATTGTAATTTACATAAACCTTCTTTTTTTTTTAATTACTCACCTGAGGATATTTTCCCATTGATTTCCTAGATAGAGAGGAAGGAAGGAAGGAAGGAAGGAAGGAAGGAAGGAAGGAAGGAAGGAAGGAAGGAAGGAAGGAAGGAAGGAAGGAAGGAAGGAGAGAGAGAGAGAGAAACCATCAATGTGAGAGAGACACATTGATTGGTTGCCTCCTGCATGACCCCAACCAGGGCCGGTGATTGAACCTGCAGCCCAGGTACATGCCCCTGATTAGGAATCTAACCCAAGACCCTTTGGTTTGTGGGCTGATGCTCTAACCACTGAGTCAAACAAGCCAGGGAAAACCTTCTTTTTCTCTAATCACATTTGTCAAGAAAACAAAACTTACAAATTGAACCGCTAAAGGCAAAACTAGTTGCTGTCTTTACAAATCTAGTGTATTTTAATAGAATCTAATTCTACTGCAAAGTTACTCATAACTTGCCCTGAATCTTTCCAGCCTCATCATCCACTCCCCCCAACCACACAGATAACCACAGCTTCAATCAAATTAAATAATCTTGTAATACCTTTATATGGCCATACTCTTTGACAATTCTGATTGGTTTCTGTTGGTTCTTCCACCTACATTTCTTTCTCTCCATATATATTCTGTCAGTGCTTTAAAACTTAGCTATTTTCAACCTATTGGGATTGTGTCTCAGTCACATAATCAGTTCTTGCCCTGAAATCACAGAGTACTTTTTCTGGATTTTCATTCCCCCTTTGTCTTTTATGTTATAACATTGGGTTTAACTCCTGAAAAAGTTTATCACCTTGGATTCATTTATATGCCCCCTCTAGCAAGTCATCGCTGGAGGTCAGGAACTGCCTTGTGGAACTTTACATTAAAAGAAGCAAATGCGGTATCTGGAATTTTTAGATATGCACAATGAGAAGTTGGTGAATTTAACTGAATAGGATGTGTGTCCCCAATAAACCTGTGATTGAGAAATAATTTGCAAATAATCATTGCCCAATAATTACAACATACTTCTGTGTTCTCACATTGTATTAGACATTTGACACACATTCAGTGTTGTTCACTTCCATTACCAGCTAAAGAAACTCAGGCCAAGGGGGGGGGGTCAATATCCAAAATGAGGTTTGAATTTAGCATTATCTTCAAAGTTTATGTTATTTGCTCTACTATTCAGTTACTGTGGAGCTGACATAGTGTATGAACAAGTGAATGAATGAATGAATGAATGAATGAATGAATGAATGAAGAGCAGACACCTAACTCACTACTTGCTGCCTCCAGAGGCTCCAGATGTACTTCTGGCTACATACTCTTCTCTTGCGCCCTCAAGTTAGTGGCAGGCAGTGGTGAGTGGGATGCAGATAACCACTGCCCACGCCAGGGAGGTCTCCCTCCTCCCCCTTTCTGCTGGTGGTCAGTGCTCACCAAGCTGTCCCTAGTGCCACCCAATATCTGGCAGACCAGCTGGCCCTGGACAGGGGTAGGGGCCAGCAACAACTACATCCCACAATCCAAGCCCCTCACCTTTGAGAGCACCATCAACCTGGACCCCCCTTACCAATTATACTTTTGGAACAAAAGTGCCCCTCTATGAGGACAGCTCTGTCACAGCCAGATTTCAGCACATGAGAGAGGAATTTGATAGAATTGGATAAGGAAGGCTATAGAAGAGGTTCTGATTTTACATGGGCACTGGCTACCCCAAGTGTTACTGCTACAGCTGGGCACAACTTTCTTCAAATTACCTGGTGGTGAACTTCACCCAATAGAAGATGAAGTTGAAGGACTAAAACACTTAATGACAGAGATACTGGGTCGTCAAAATGGAGTCTTGCAAGACTAGGTCATTGACAACTGCATTGGCCTGGTTGAGACCACATTTTGAGCCTCCTCAGTATCCATATGTTCCTGCACATATTATAAAACCTAAGGAGCATAAGAAGTTATTTTTGGTTCCAATTCAAGAAAACGCCTTGTTTGCAGTCCCTAAAAGTTACAAACTGGTAACACGCCATCATTTGAATTGCATGACAATGCACCAGGACACAGAACCATTATTTCCGATCTCCCTCAGCTTTTGAGAGGTTCAATTTTATGTACAACTGAATTCGTGCACAATGAAGTAAAAGAAGCTGTCTCCCTGAGCCCAGCTCTACACAGGGTAGAATAAAAATGGCAGGAATGTTCTTTTGGTTTTATCTCTTTCCTAGTCCCTAAATTGCCACCTGTTTTCTATTATTGAATAGTAAAGTTGATATGAAAACCTAGATAGTGCTATAAACAAGTGTGATCATGTTTAATTTGCCTTTGTTTTCTACTCATACATTTTTTCTTTCTTTTTTTATATTAATTTATTTATTTTTGTTACAGATGTTTCTCCTTTTCCCCCACTGATACCGCCTTCCCCCACTCTCCCCGCCCTGTCCCCAGCTTTGTTGTTTTATGTCCATTGTTCATGCATACATGCATATAAGTTCTGTGGTTTATCTCTCCCTAACCATCCCCGCTTCTGGGGATTGTCAGTTTGTACCCCACTTCCACGTCTCTGAGACTACCCTGTTCCTCAGACTGTTATGTTCATTATATTCCACAAATAAGTGACATCATGTGATATTTGTCTCTCTCTCTGCTTGGCTTGTTTCACTTAGGATAATACTTTCCAGGTCCCTCCATGTTGTCTCAAAGGATAAGACATCTTTCTTTCTTACAGCTGCATAGTACTCCATTGTGTATGTGTACCACTGCTTTTTTATCCATTTGTCTACTGATGGACATTTGGGCTGTTTCCAGATCTTACTTATTGTAAATAGTGCTGCTACAAATATGGGGGTACATATATTCTTTCTGATTGCTGTTTCAGGCTTCTTAGGGTATATTCCTAGAAGTGGGATCACTGGGTTAAATGGAAGTTCAATTTTTAACTTTTTGAGGTAACACCAAAGTGTTTTCCATAGTGGCAGCACCAGTCTGCATTCCCACCAGCAGTGTACCAGGGTCCTCTTTTCTCCACACCCTTGCCAACACTTGTTGTTTCATGATTTGTTGATGGCAGCCATTCTGACAGGTGTGAGGTGATACCTCATTGTTGTTTTAATTTGCATCTCTCTGATGATTAGTGATGTTGAGCATTTCTTCATATGTCTCTTGGCCATTTGTATGTCGTGTTTGGAGAGGTGTCTATTTAGTTCCTCTGCCCATTTTTTAATTGAGTTCTTTATGTTCCTTTTGTTGAGCTGTATGAGCACTCTATATATTTTGGAAATTAACCCCTTATCTGATGTATCATTGGCAATTATGCTTTCCCATAGAGTGGGTTGCCTTTCCATTTTGGTGGTTTTTTTCTTTTGCTATGCAGAAGCTTTTGAGTTTGATGTAGTCCCATGAGTTCGCTTTCTCCTTTGTTTCTGTTGCCTTAGGTGATGTATCAGTGAAAATTCTGCCGCGTATGATGTCTGGAATTTTGTTGCCTACAGTTTCTTCTAGGATTTTTTGGTTTCATAAGTCACATTTAAGTCTTTTATTCATTTTGAGTTTATTCTTGTGTATAGTGTAAGTTGATGGTCTAGTTTCATTTTTTTGCATGTAGCTATCCAATTTTCCCAACACCATTTATTAAAGAGGCTGTCTTGACTCCACTGTGTGCTCTTGCCCCCTTGGTCAAATATTAATTGAGCATATTGTCTTGGGTCCATTTCTGGGTCCTCTATTCTGTTCCATTGATCTATTTGCCTGTTTACTCATACTTTTTTATACAAAGTTAAAGAAAGCAGACTTCCTTTTTCTTCTGGTGGTTTGTGTGTGTGTGTTTTTAATTTTACATTAAACTCGTAAAATTCTTATAGGTGATGATCATTTTTTTCTCCCCATCCTTTGTCAGGCTGGTGACTATGAGGAGGCAATGGCTAGTTTAGTTCAGTTGAATTTATGGGACCCTTGCTTAGCCACCATTTTTGGGAGTACATTCCAACAGTGTGTGTTATAGATCTTAGGATTAGGATCTTCTATTGCTTTTAGGAATTAGATTTGCTTGAACAAGTCCAAGGTGCAACTCCTATACCAAGTTGTATACTCTGATGAGTTGTATTACAGCAGAACTCTCAGTGGAGTACTGACTGGGACCTTTCATACTGGTATAGCCAGAACGTAGTCCATAAGCAACAGACCTTAAACACATGGGAAATCATTAAAATTGGTCAGATCCCCTGATCTTACTTATGGGAAATGGTCTAAAATGAGACAAATCTAGAGTTCATTTATCTTCACATAATGGGTGTATTAATTATTTTTGCTGTTGCAAAATTATTTCTTAGTTATTCTTAGGATCATGGTAAAATGGTGGTCTATGGAGGAAGTCTCTAAAAGTGGGTGTCTTAGGTTTGAACTCTTGGATTGCAAAGTTAGTTTGTCAATTAACTTGAAATTATTTCCACAGAGATAAAAATTTTATTTTAGCAAGGTGCTAAAGCTTTTTTAAAAATAAGTTTGAATAATATGAAATCTAAAGACAGGATAAGCAATAGAGTTTGTATGCCTAATAGAAAAATAGAAAATTTTAAAAAAATTAATGTTGCTAAATTATTGTCAAATTTGGAGGAATAAAAAAAGAATCTTAGGGAAAAAGTGTTTGCTGGCTGTGTCATTACTCTGTGGTCAAAGTATATTGTGTAGCCTTATTACAAACTTTTTTACTGTTGGCTGAATGTAAAGGACATCTTGTAAAATCAGCTACTTAAAGAAAAGAGATTGGTGCACTTATGTTTTTAATAGATAGATAAAAATGAACTGTTGATTAGTGCTTACATCTATATAGTGCTGATCACTGGGCTATTCCCCTGAGTATTGGGTGATCTGAAAAGTATCATGTATGTTTCCCTGTTTAGACTTGAGAAAATCAGATCAAGAGTCCCTGCACAATTATATTTATAAACATTCAAGTCTGATGATGGTCCTGTCAACCCTTCACATGGTGAGGTATCAAGTAACGACTGTAACCGTGCCCATGCTCCACTAGATGAGCACCAGTCTCCAGGATCAGTCCTTTGAAAAACCCACTAGTTCTGTGGATAGTCCTCTTCCCTCAAGGTCTAACAGTCCTGCCCCTGTGGTTTACATTAGCGTATTTCTAATTTACTATAATTTTATTGGTGAGCTCACGGATTAGCTCAGTCCTAAAACATTGGGGAAGGCAGAGATGGAGATGGCTTAAACCAGCCCACTTCCCATGATTGCTTCTAGCATCCAAGTGCAAAGCTACAGTGACCACATTTCAGATACGTTAGCTCTTGTCATTTGGAGTGGAAAGAGGTGGGCCTTTTATTAGTGTAATTTATAAAGTACTATCTGTAGCCCTGGCCGGTTTGGCTCCGCGGTTAGAGCGTCGACCTGCGGTCCTGAGAGACCCGGGTTCGGTTCCCGCTAGGGGCACGTGCCTCGGTTGCAGTTTGTCCCCAGCCCTGGTCGGTCGTGCAGGTGGCAGCCACTCGATGTGTTCCTTTCACATCGATGTTTCTCTCTCTCTCTCTGTTCCTCTCTCTCCCTCCCACTCTACCTGAACAAAAAAATGGGAAAATGTCCTCGGGTGAGGATAAAAAAAAAAAAAAAGTACTATCTGTAAAGGAGTGCTTGAGTTGAAGAGTGATCTGATTCAAGGCCACTCATGTCCTCTGTGACTTAACCTTTGACCTAGAAAGTCTTTCTTGATCAGTACTTCTGAGTATAATAAGTACTTGAGTGAGTCACCCATGTACTGGGGCCTAGGTAAGAAAACCTTTGATTTAAGCTGGCTGGGTTACTAACCTTAGAATGTAAGAGATATGGGGGGTTTTCTTGCACAGAGATCCCTTTATTTTATTTTATTTTTTTCCTGTAAAATTCATAACACATAAACCCAACTTTCAAAACTACTTTTGAACTGGTCAGTTGCAGTTGTATCTCAAGACTCTTGTTCTGTTTTCTTGAAGGAAATGGTAGACCTAGAGAAGTTCAAAGCTCAAGTATTCTTGCAGCATTAGAAGAGGGTACAAGGGCACTCTTTACCACTAAGGTCTTTTGATAAATAACTTTTCTTTTTCTTTATTGATTTTAGAGAGAGAGGAAGGGAGAGGGAGATAAAAACATCAATAGAGAGATGTTTGGCCGCCTCCTGCACGCCCACCACTGGGGATTGGTCCCACAACCTGGGCATGTGCCTGACAGGGAATTGAACTGGCAACCTCTTGGTACATGGGTCGACACTCAACCACTGAGCCACACTAGCCGGACAATGAATAACTTTTAACACAAAACTTCAAGATCAACAGACTTCAATTTTGCATCCCAGTTCTCAACATATTAATACTGAATAGTTTTTAAATGAGCCTGTAACTGACATATTTCTGACTGCCTTCGACGTTCTAGGTTTGCTTATAAATGAGAACCCTCTTTTGTATTGTATAACTGTAATATTTGCCATGTTATTTCCCCAGAGTAATCCAGGCTGTGCATATTCTATATAAAACTGCTGAATGGCACTGAAAAATACTCAGTAGGCTGGGGGGGGGAGGGGTTACTTAATGTTTAAAATCATATTTAATATTGACATCCCTTGGAAGAAAAGTGAAACTTGTTTTTCTTCCTCAGTGATGAAGATTTTGATTTTTATAAAAGTAGATAATACTTTAAATGGTGTTATGGCCCTGGACGGTTTGGCTCAGCGGTTAGAGTTGGCCTGCGGTCCAGAGAGACCTGGGTTCAGTTCCTGCTAAGGACATGTACCTCGGTTGCACTTTGTCCCCAGCCCTAGTTGGTTCATGCGGGTGGCAGCCACTAGATGTGTCCCTTTCCCGGAGCTGTTTCTCTCTCTCTCTCTCTCTCTCTCTCTCTCTCTCTCTCTCTCTCTCCCTCTCTCTCCCTCCCACTCTATCTGAACAAAAATGGGAGAAAAAAATGTCCTCAGGTAAGGATAAAAAAAAAATGGCGTTATGGCCCAGCCAGCGTGGTTCAGTGGTTGAGCATCAACCCATGCACCAAGAGGTCACCAGTTTGATTCCTGGTTAGGGCACATGCTCAGGTTGGGGGCCAAATCCCCAGTGGGGGCATTCAGCAGGTGGCCAATCAATGTTCTCTCTCATCCATGTTTCCATCTTTCTCTTCCTCTCCCTTCTTTTCCTTCTAAAAAATCAATAAAGAAAATAAAATTTTTAAATAATAATAAAAATAAAATAAAATTACATTACGATAATTCTGTATATGAACTTGTACTTTAAACAACAGATCTGGATTTTTATCTTCGTCCTACCTTGTAACTAGCATTGTGTGGTTCAGTTATTACTCTAGATACTCAAGGCTTCTATTAATAATATTTCATGTGGATAAAATAACCAAATTAGCCAGTCCATTTTTCTTCCATGCTTAATTAGAAGTGAAAGGTAGAGGCCCTGCAGAGTCATCGGGCCTGCAAACAGTTTAAAATGCCCTTTCTTAAATGATGTGATTCTTATGCCCTCAGGTTTTTAATGAATTTATATTTTTTTTAGGTAGCTGCTCAGTCACTTGAGGGGAAATGCTTGAAGTAGCTTCTCCCCTTTGGAGTTCCTCAAATTTAATATGTTTACATAGAGTTTGGGACACTAAGACTGTTTCAGAGGGTGTGCAATTTGTACATCGCGGGGCCAGAGAAGGTCTAGTAGTTTCTGACTGTCACACAAGTCAGCTTCTGTAGCCTAAGGTTTCCCATAATTGTTCCACTTGTTTGATATCACTTATTAAACGGAACTCACGTCAGTTTTTTGTTGTTGTTGTTGTTTATGTGATGACAAACATAATACTGTAATTTGACTGGCGTCATAAAACACACTTTAATATTAGCTCATATAATATTTATCAAGCTTGTTTTTCTGGAGAAAAATAAATAGATTAAAACCTAAGTAAGTCTAGATTAAGTCAATTTAGGTGTAATTTGTATTGTCGTGATGGATTGTATGAGAGATGAAATGGGGAAATATATCTGTTACGGGAAAGATCTGTGCATTTATAAACTTAAACTTTTGGTTACTGTATTCACATCTTAGAATACAGGCATCATTTATCATTTGGCTTTGAGACTTTTTCCGCTATTAACTTTGTAGTAAATGTATAAAAAAAAACCTGTTTGATTAAAGTGGTACTGTTTTTAAATTTTATTTTATTGTCATTTAAAAAGAAAAATGTTTGAACAAACTAAACCAATAGATATCTAAGTCCGCTGCTGTAATGTGCTTCCTAGAGCGACCCTGAGAATGACTCGTGGATCTTTGCCCTGGCCGTGCTCCTGAGCAGCATGTTGGTCTACAACAGCATGGGCACCATCAACCACCAGGCCCTGGAGCAGCTGCAGTATCCTTCCAGGAGCTGAACCACCAGGTGTCATGGGGTCTATGGGAATGTAACTGAGACTATGTTATTATTGTTTGTTATTTCAATAATCATGGTTGAGGAGAAAGGGACACAGGGTGAATGGGAATGTTCATAAAACTTGTTTGTGGGTGAGATCTGGAAATTTTGGCATGGAGCACTTCTCATTCCTTAGCTAAGATCCCAGCTACGTGACTGAACTAACAAAGCTGATCAGGACAAAATCCTCCCCCAGCTCTGATGAGGAAGATGACTCAGCTGAGTTTGTGAGTTTCTTCCCAGACTTTGTTTGGGCTGTACGAGATTTCATGCTGGAGCTGAAGTTAGATGAACGCACCATCACTGAAGATGAGTACCTGGAGAATGCCTTGAAGTTGATTCCAGGTATCAGAGCACAGTCTGGGTGGTAGAAAGGGGTCAATATGGTCATCTGAGCCCTGTCATTGAGCACTTAAGGTCTATCTTTATTTTTTATCGTACTGAGGCCCACGCTAATGGCGATATATGTATGACAGATGGGTGTGGTTTCAGCTGTTATAATTACTGAAAAAATTCAAGTGACCAGAATTAAAGCTGGCTGAGAAAATGTAGAATTCAATATCAAACAAAATGACTTTAGAAAAATTGACACCATGATAAAAAAAAAATTAGAGGATTACTACCAATGCTAAAACTTCTTAAGGCTCAAATATTTATGTTAATGATTAAGTTCAGAGCTCGTTTATTTCTGTTTAGAGAAAAATGCCCATTAGTGTGGAAGATGGTAAACACAGAATCACACACATATCAAATGACTTCAGTTTTTAAATAAATTTCACGTAGTCTGTTTTAATAGCCTGCATAGTTACATTCCTCATATAAAGGATGTTTATACAGTTTCCCGCCCCCCCAAAAAATTATTGACCTGTCTTTCTAAGATTGTCAAATCACTTATTTGTTTTTTTATAACATCACTCTCTTCATTCTGTAGCCTTATACAATGTTTTGTCATGTTGATATAATAAATTCATTATACAGAATACATTTAGCAGAGAAAATAATAGGTGGTACCTAGAAGCATATTCACTTCTGCTTATTTAATCATTTATTTATTCACAAGAGAATCATTTCTTGAACAGCTAATATATGCCCGGAATCCCTCTGTATGACATTGTCACCGTCGATATAATCTGATATAGAGAACCAGCGAGGTTCTCAAGTAGCATTAGGTTAACCTTACTTTTTGATGGTGTCTGCTAAATACATCTCTGAACATACTTATATTGTTTGTATTTTTTTAACTCTGATTTTTAGAAGTTTGTGTTTTGTTGTTGTTTTTTTCTGTTCCGAGTTTTGTCTGTCCTTCACATGAAATTTTTTTCTAGAAGTATTATAAATTCTATGTTTCTACCATATAATCATTTACTTTAAAGCCCACATTTTATTTCTGACAATTTTGGAGATTAATCCACCGTTCAGAAAACAACTGATAAATAGTCAAGCCACTGGATACCGTGGAAGGGCTAAGGAAGAAATCCTAAGTTTCTTCACTTGGGACAGATGTCTCTCCTTCTTCTCCAGAAGTACTTTCTTTACTCCTGTTCTGGAATAAAATAAATAAATAAAGTGTCTACGTTTTGGGTAGATTAGCATTATGTTAATATGATTAAATAAAGGGAGATTTATAGGAACCAGTGATACAGTGATCCGAAGATTCCTGGAAATGAAAATCTTCAACCTCCTTGCCCAAAGGCTGTCTCATCAGCGATTGTTCTTTTTCTTTTCTACAGGCGAGGATCCGCAAATCCAGAAATCCAACATGCCTAGAGAGTATATCAGGAAGTTCTTTCCAAGGCGAAAGTGCTTTGTCTTTGACCAGCCTACAAATGACAAAAAACTATTGCTCCATATGCAGGAGGTGTCAGAAAACCAACTAGAAGGGCATTTCCAGGAGCAATCTAAAAATTTCTGTCAATATATCCTCACACATGCAAGCACCAAGAACCTAAGAGAAAAAATCATTACTGGAAACGGTGAGCCTTCTCTGCTATACAACATGTTACTCTGCATTCAATGTGTGTGATTTCACTCTGGTTTTGTTTCCTCCTCTACGTGATATGGAGAAGCAGAGGTTCACACGACACATAGACATGCATGGTTTTTCACTCAAGTTTCCCTACACGAAGGGTTATTTAAGCCTACTGTATCTCAGGAAACTCATACACGAATGACATAAGCACAGCTGCCCTTAAGGATAGGAATCTGCAGGATGATAAGTCCAATGAGTGTTTCATGGTGAGGACACACAAGATACTTTGTAAATTTACACCAGTTAGAAAATCGATAGCAAAATGTGAGCCTCTGAAAGCCCATTCAAGTTTGAGCAGCAAATGTAACTATAGTTTTATGTACAGGGCAGGATTCACAGATATGCCACCCTTTGCTGAGATAAGCCCTTGCTTAGTTTAATGGTTGTGCCACTGTCCTGAAATTCTTGATTTTTTAAAAAGTAGCCCGCATTCATTTTGGAATAGTGCTCACAAACGGGCTACTTAACTTACCTATTAAGTAAACTCATTTTAAAATTTCAATGGGAATATTATTCTAGGAAATTCTCGAACATATTGGTTGAAATTATTATTTTAACATTATAATGTGAGGAATCCATAAATCAAAAAGAGTGACTAGAATACACAGTAATGTTATGATTAGAGAGTGGACACAGAAAAGGAAAAGGAAGCGGAGACAATGACGAGCACAAGGAGGAACATGGGGAGAAGAAAAAAAAAAACCAGAAAACGTCATTGCAGTAAAAATGTTGTGATTTCTAGAATGCTGAGCTCTAAAGCTTGTAAAAACAAGAAGCAAGAAATTTCTGTTACTTTCCCAAATATCACGTGTCATTCAGGGCTCGGGACCCTGGCAAAGGCCTATGTGGATGCCATCAACAGTGGAGCAGTGCCTTGTTTGGAGAACGCGGTGACAGCTCTGGCTGAGCTTGAGAACTCAGCAGCCGTGCAGAAGGCGGCCGATCACTACACTGAGCAGATGGCCCAGCGAGTGAGCTTCCCCACAGACTCGCTCCAGGAGCTGCTGGACCTGCACGCAGCCTGCGAGAGGGAAGCCATTGCCATCTTCATGGAGCGCTCCTTCAAGGATGACAAGCGGGGGTTTCAGAAGAAGCTTGTGGTAACCTGTCTTAGTATACATCCTTCCTGAAAACTCCTTCTGAGATGATGCCTAGATTCCCTTTTTGTGACTCGGAGTTCATGTGTTTCTCATTGTAGAATGAGCCTGGATTCTTCTGAGTAGTAGGCTACCATTCATGCTTTTTCTAAAAGATTAATTTTTTTTATTTTCTACTATTGCAAAACAAATTACCATGTGCATAGCAGCTTAAAACAATACATTCATTAGCTCACAGTTCTTCAGGTCAGATTCCAGCTCAAGGTTCAAATGGGCTTATATTATCAGGTGGAGGTTTGGGGAATTCCCCTCTACCTTCAAGTCAGCAATCGTGAATCTTATCCTTGTATTGTTTTTAATCTCTCTGACTACCTTCTCTGCCACCAACAAGAGAAAGCTGCTTTTAAAGGACTCCTGTAGTTAGGTAATGCCCACCTGGAAATTTCCATCTTAAACTCAACCTGGGCTTTATAACATAATCTAATCATAGGATTAATATTAAGCATATTCACAGGCCCAAGGACTATGTAGAGAGTGCACACCAGGGGAGAGAACACTTAGAAGACATCATAATTCTACTTACAATAGGCACTGTCACTAAAAATTTGTCTTTGGGTTACAAAAACGTCTCCTTTCATACAGAAAAAAACCAACTTCATTAAAATGTAGAAGTATGACAAATAAATTTTGTTTCTACATTTTTGCTCAATCAAATCCTCATTGAAAAAATTCATGACTGGTTTTAAAACTCTGTTCAGAGATCACTTAACTCATTAGTGGGTAGTTGATTTGCTATGAATATATTTTTATCCATAGCAACCCAAGTTTGCAGAGAAAAGTCATATTCAACATTCCATTACTCATTGTCAATCAATCATACTACTGATAAAGGAACCATGCATAATACTGGATCGCATATTTGAAAGTTGTTAGAGAGTAAATCTGACACTTCTCATGTAGAGAAAAATAAATGTTCGTAACTATGTAAGGTAAGGGATGTTAACTAGACTTATTGTGGTGATTATTTCACAATATATACAAATAACAATTCATTAAGTTGTACACCTGAAGCTATTATAATGTTATAGTCAATTATATATCAGTTGGAAAGGAAAAAAGACACCATGAAGTTCATATCTACCAATCCCGTCATTTCACATTGCCAGCCCACCCTGATGCCTTTGAACTGCTTTTTTTTTTTAATCCTCACCCAAGGATATTTTTCTATTTATCTTCAGGTAGAGAGAGAGGGAGAGAAAGAGAGAGAGAGATAGGAACATCAACGTGAGAGGGACACATCAACTGGTTGCTTCCCACATGACCCCGACCAGGGACGAACCACTACCTAGGTACATGCCCTTGGCTGGAATTGAACCCAGGACTCATTGGTTCACAGGCCAAAGCTCTATCGCTAAGCCAAACCAGCCAGAGCCAGACTGCTTCTTTTATTTTTATTTTTAATTTTTTACAATTACAGTTGATGTACAATGTTATATTAGTTTTAGGCATACAACATAGTGATTAGACATTTATATAACTTACAAAGTTATCACCCAATAAGTCTAGTACCCATCTTACACTAGACGAAAGTTTTACAGTATTATTGACTATATTCCCTATGCTGTATTTTACATTTCCTTGACTATTTTTATAACTGGTAGTTTGTACTTCTTAATCCCCTCCCCTTTTTCATCCTTCCCCCCAAAAGTGCCTCCCATTTTGCAACCATTTGTTCTCTGTGTCTATGAGTTTGTGACCATTTTGTTTTTACACTCGCTTTGTTTTTTAGATTCCACATATAAGTGAAATCATGTGGCATTTGTCTTTCTCTGTCTGACTTATTTCATTGTTTATCTTTTCGAAAAACCAGCTCTTTGCTTTATTGATTTTTTGAATATATATTTTTGGTCTTTATGTCATTTATTTCTGCTCTGATCATTACTATTGCTTTCCTTCAAGTTGCTCTGGGGTTTTCTTTTTGTTTGCTTTCTAGTTCTTAAAGTTGTGAGGCTAAATAGTCAATTAGAAATTTTTTGTTTCTTGAGATAGGCCTGTAATGCTATAAACTTCTCTCTCAGACTGCTTTTGCTGCATCCCTTAAATTTTGTGTTGTTGTGTGTTCATTTTCATTGGTTTTCAGGAATTTTTTAATGTCTTTCTTGATCTCCTCAGTAATCCATTCATTCTTTAATAACATGCTATTTAGCCTCCATGTGTTCAAATGTCTCTGCATGTTCTTGTTGCAATTGATTTCTAATTTCCTGCCATTGGGATCTGAGAAGATGCTTGATATGATTTGAATCTTCTCGAACTTGTAGAGACTTAGTTTGTGTCCTAACATGTGGTCTGTCTTTGAGAATGTCCCATGTGCACTGTAGAAGAATATGAATTTTATAGTTTTGGGGTGTAATTCTCTGTAGATATCTATTAAATCCATTTGGTCTAGTGCTTCATTTAGAGTCTTTGTTTCCTTGTTAATTTTTTGTCTAGAGGATCTATCCAGTGATGTCAGCGGGGTGTTGAAGTCCCCTGCTATGATTATATTGCTATCGATTTCTCCTTTGAAGTCCTTCAGAAGATTTTTAATATATTTTGGTGCTCCTATATTGGGTGCATATATGTTTACCAAGGTTATATCTTACTGTTGGATACAGCCTTTCAATATTATGTCGTGGCCTTCTTTGTCTCTAGTTATGCCCTTTATTTCGAAATCTATTTCATCAGATATGAGTATTGCTACCCAGTTTTTTTGTTTGTTTGCTTGCTTGTTTGGAATATTTTATTCTATCCCTTCACTTTTAACCTATGTGAGTCTTTTGTTGTGAGGTGGGTCTCTTGTAACCAACATATATGGGAGTCATGCTTTCTTATCCAGTCAGCTACTTTGTGTCTTTTTATCGGATCATTCAAACCATTCACATTTAACGTGATCATTGATATGTACTTATTTATTGCCATTTTTGTTTAGTGTGGTTCTGTTTTTCTTCCTATTTCTTCTACTAATTACAGAAGTTTTTTCAACATTTCTTGCAGTGCTGGTTTGGTACTAATGTATTCCCTTAGCCTTTTTTTTTTTTTTTTTTTTTTTTTTGGTCTGGCAAGCTCTTTATTTGACCTTCTATTTTGAATGATAGCCTTGCTGGATAGAGTAGTCTTGGATTCAGATCCTTGTTTATCATTACCTTGATTACTTCATGCCATTTCCTTCTGGCCTGTAGTGTTTCTGTTGAGAAGTCAGCTGAGAGCCTTATGGTGGTGCCTTTGTAGGTAATCTGTTGCTTCTCTCTTGCTGCTTTTAGGATTCTCTCTTTGTGTTTAATTTTCGGCATTTTAATTATTATGTGTCTTGGTGTGGGCCTGTCTGGGTTCTTCTTACTTGGGGCTCTCTGTACTTCTTGAACTTGAATGCCTTCTTTCTTTACCAAGTTAGGAAAGTTTTTTGTCACCATTTCTTCATATATATTCTCTAATCCTTGCTCATTTTCTTCTTCTTCGGGGACTCCTATGATGCAAATATTATTACATTTCCAGTTGTCCCACAGATCTCTTAAGCTGTCTTTCTGCTTTTTAATTGTTTTTTCCTTTTGTTTTTCTGACTGGTTGATTTTTTCTACCCTGTCTTCTAATTCACTGATCCGGTCCTCAGCTTCCTCTAGTCTGCTGTTTAGTCCTTCCAATGTGTTCTTTATTTCTGCTGTGTCATTCTTCATTTACACTTGGTTGGTTTTCAATATTTCTATATATTTACTCATGGTGTTGAGGTCCTTACTCATGCTGTTGAGCTTCCTCAAGATCATGGCTCTGAACTCTACGTTTGATAACTTGCCTAACTACATTTCATTGATCTCATCTTCAGCAGAGGTCTCTTGTTTTTTCATTTGAGATTCGTTGCTTTGTTTCACCATTTTGGCTATCTCAGTGGGTTTTGGAGCCTGCTAAAATGTCCCTGTGGGTGTTGGTGTTCTGCTGTTTATGGCTCCCTCTAATGGGTTTGGATGAGTATGAAGAACCCTCATTAAACACTACTGTCAAGTCTTACTTTCCTGGGTAGATTTGCAAGCCCAGGAACAGTTCAGTTATCCTCTAGCTTTTTGCCTGGAGGCTATTAATCTCAGTTACTTGAAGAGCCTTGGGTTATCAGTTGAATAGAAAATTCACTCAGGTGTTCCGTGTAAGAGGATTTCCCAATGGCAGGGCAGATGCTGGTTATTCATGAGCCTCAATTTGCATTTTTGGGCCCAACTGGGTGGGGTTCAATCTCCAAGGGAGTGGTCGCCACCTCTTCTCAGAGCCCTGGGAAGGAGTAAGATGGCCACTGTCCTACGTGGCTGCAACTCAGCAAAAGGTCTGTGCATCCTCCAAATCCCAAGTATCCCCACACAGTTCCAGTTCAGTCCACCCTCCCTCTCCTGGAGCCTAAGGTGAGTGGTTGTGGCTAATTAGTGCTATGTCTTGGCCCTCTGCATGTGGAGCTGGTTTGGGATATTAACCCTGAGAGCGCTGCTCACAGCCAAGACTACTGCTGTTTGTGGGCTCCCAGCCCCCCATCTCATGCCTCCGCAATTCCACCAGGATTGATTCTGTGTTTCTGGTTATATGGTCCTCACAAGCTGCTTTTCTGTTGCCTTTTCCCATTGATTTGTTTTTATATTAGTTGTAATTCCAGTTTGGTCCTAGGAGATTGTCTGTGTAGCTTCCATTCACTCTGCCACCATTTTAGAATCCAATCTTTTTATATTTAAAGTAATTACTGATGAGTCTATAGTTATTGCCATTCTATTAATTGTCTATTAATTATTTATGTAGTTCTTCTCTGTTTCTTTTTTGTGCTCTTATTCTCTTCTCATATGTTGATAACTTTCCATAGTGCTGTGCTTGCATTCCTTTCTCTCTATCTTGTATATCTCTTGTAGATTTTTGGTTTGTTGCTACCATGTGCTTCATATATATCAAGTTATGGTTATACCAGTCTGCTTTTTGTTGATTATTACTGACTTCAAACACATTTCAAAAGCACTACAACTTTTACCCCTTCCAAGTTGATGTTTTTATCATTATTTTTTACTTCTTTTGTGTGTATGGTTTATGTGTATTTCTAATTTATTGTTGTAATTACAAATGATTTTCCTACTTTTGCACTTTAACCTTTGTACTAGCTTTATATTTGGTTGATCCAGTGCTTTTACTGTTTACCTTTGTCAGTAAAAAATATTTTCTTTCCTATATTTTTTAATTCATATTTTTAATTTATTCTTTTCTAATTAAAGATGTCCCTTTAACATTTTTTTTTTTGTAATAATGGCTTGGTGGTGATGAACTCCTTTAGCCTTTTCTTGTCTGGAAAACTCTATCTTGGTCAATTCTAAACAAAAGCATTACTGGGTAGAGTGATCTTGGTTATAGGTCTTTGTTTCTCACCACTTTGACTATTTCACATCAATCACCTCTGACCTGCAAAGTTTCTGTTGAGAAAACTGCTGAAGGTCTTATGGGAGCTCCCTTATACCTAACTAACTGCTTTTCTCTGGAGGCTTTGAAATTCTCTCTTTGTCCTTTACATTAGATGTTTAAATTATGATATATCTTAGTTCAGGCTTATTTGGGCTCATCTTGTTTGAGACTCTGCAATTTCTAGGCTTGTATGTCTATTTTCTTCACCAAGTTAAGAAAGTTTTAGTCATTTTTTATTTAAATAAGTGTTCCATCCCTTGCTTTCTCTCTTCTCCTACTGGTATTCCTATAATGCAAATATTTGTATGTGTGATGTTGTATCTGAGGTCCATTAAACTGTCTTTATTTTTTTTTTTTATCTTGTTGTTACAATTGGGACTTTTCTGCTACCTTGTCTTCCAGATCCCTGATTTGATCCTCTGCTTAATCTAATTGGCTTTTGATTCCCTTTAATGTATTCTTCATTTCAATTATTGTATTATTCATTTTTCACTAACTCTTTTTATGTTTTCTATCAATTTATTTTTTGTTTTCTGTGTCTTTGTGTAATTTCTCACTGAGTTTATCTGTTCCTCCCTTAAATTCATTAAGCATCCTCATAACCAGTGTTTTGAACCCTGCGCCTGGTTGATTCCTAGACCCCATTTCGTTTTGTTCTTTTTTTCTTTCTTTTGGGATATGTTTCTTTTTCTCTTCATTTGGGCTGAGTCTCTGTGTTTTTCTATATATTAAGTAGATCTGCTACATCTTCCAGACTTGGCAGAGTGGTCTTATATAGTAGGTGTCCTGTATGACCCAGTGGTGCAGTCTCCTCTGTCACCTGAGTTGGCTGCTCCAGAAATGTCCCTTTGAAGGTTTTGTGTGTCCTCCTTTTGTAGTTGAGATTCGATTGCTGTTGGCACATCAGTGAGTAAAAATGACCCTCAGGCTGACTGGCTATAAGGGCTGATCATGACTACAGGGGGACGAGCTGTAGTGTGAGCACTGATCTCATAATCTGAGAGTCTCTTTAGAAGGGCCCTGGTGTCATCCAAGTCTGTCCTTCAGGTGTATCTTTTAAGAGCTGGTTGGGTGGTGCTCTGGTGTGGTGTGAAGCCAGCCACCAAGAGTATTTGTTCTGGAACCTCTTAGGAGAAGTTCCAATGCAGGTCAAGTTTAACTGCCATTTGTATCTGGATTAGGACCACCGGCTGGGACTAACAAAATGATCTGCAGTCAATTGCCACTTGTACTAGGCTAGGAGGTTCTTGGGAGAAGGTTATGCTCTTAAGAGGTCAGCTGCCATTAATGCTGGGCTTGGAACACTTTGGTGGGCACCATAATGTGAGCTGAGGCCTGCCACCAGTTTGCTGGGTTTGTGGCTGCTTAGTTGAAACTAACATTTAAGCCATCACTGGCCACAGCTTATGCCAAGCTTGGGGCTACTTGATGGGAGTTACAATTTGAGACCAATCACTGCTTGTGCCAGACTTGGAGCTGCTTAGCAAGAGGTACAGGGCATGGGAAGACCAGCCACTGCTTTTGGAGGGCTTCTGGGCCTTTCAGAGATTTTAAGAAAATACACGGAGTGAGCCAACACAGACTACTTGTGTGGAAAATCTGCTGGAAGCAACTGGTTGGGGTAGTGTCTCAAAGAATTACCAGTGTGGTATAAACTGTGTTAGCCATGTTATTAAAGAACTCAAATTTGGTTCCCACCTTGGTGCCTTCTAGCTGGTGGGGAAAGAGCTCATCAAAGGAACATGGGTGCCTGTCTCCACTTCTCGTCCCCAGAGAGAGCCTCCATTAGTCCTGCCCCTGCGCCCTAGCCCAGAAACTAGTCAATTACATTCCTCCCTTTATATCTCTAGAGACTTTCAAGCTGATTTCCTTTAAAGGTTAGAGCAAGTGAGTTTGTGAGCAAGTGAGTCCTTACCCAGACCCCTCAAGTTGATTGCCTGGGACTCCAGAAGGCTTCCTTCTCATTCATTCAAAATCCCTCCAGGTTTTTACAGATAGATGTTGTGGGAACTCCTCTTCCAGGCACTGGTTCCTTAGGGATGAGAAGCTGAGTATGAGCTGGGACCCATCATTCCACCCAGGGGACTCAGCAGCTGAAATATCCCTTCCAAGTCTTTTTTTTTTTTTTATCCTCACCTGAGGACATTTTTCCATTTTTTGTTCAGAGAGAGCGGGAGAGAGAGAGAGAGAGAGAGAGAAACATCGACATGAAGGGACACATCGAGTGGCTGCCACCCGCACGACCAACCAGGGCCGGGAACAAACTGCAACCGAGGTACATGCCCTTAGCGGGAACCGAACCCGGTTCTCTCTGTACCGCAGGCCGACGCTCCAACCGCTGAGCCAAACCGGCCAGGGCCCCTTCTGAGTCTTAATTGCCACACCATAAATGTGTGTGTGTGACATGCCTGTTCCACATAGCTGTCCCTCCTACCAGTCTCAAGTAGCTTCTTCTTTATATCTTTAGTCAGAGGACTTCTGTTCAGCTAGTCTATAGATGATTCTTAATGATGGTTTTTCTATAATTTGGTTGTAAATTTAATGTGGTCCTGGGAGGAGGTAGGCACGGTATTTACCTACTTCACCATCTTAACCATGAGTCAGACTGCAAGAGGACCCTAGTTGGACCCTCCCTCCTAAAAGTATCTCCGTTTTGGGTTTCTCCACATTTTCCTGCCAGGAAATAATAGAGATGAAGAAGGAAGACTTTTTGCTTCAGAATGAACAGGCATCTGGCAAGTATTGCCAGGCTCAGCTTGAGCAGCTTTCAGAGCCCTTGATAGATGATATTTCAAGAGGAACTTTCTCAGTGCCTGGGGGATACAACCTCTACTTAGAAGCAATGGACAAGTTTGAACAGTCCTATAACCTGGTGCCCAGGAAAGGAGTGAAGGTGAGGAATGAAAAGAGGGAGAAAGACCAGCAGATGGGGGTCAGAGGGTCTTTGTGTTTTCTTTTCAAAATCTAAAACCACATGGTACCATTGGTGGAGAGAAAGCAGTGTGGTGAGCTTTACATTTTAACTTTTATATCCATAATTAGATAATTTTTAAACAAGCCAGAAATATGTCTTCCCAAATATAGGATTTATTATCTGCAATCAAGATGAAATAGAACATTTGTTTTATTTAACAAACAGTGTAATCATTTTTGTACTAAGTATAGGAGACATATAATTTAAAAAACTACTTCTTCGCCCTGGCAGGTTTGGCTCAGTGGTTGGAGCATCGGCTTGCAGACCAGAGAGTCCCGGGTTTGGTTCCTGCTAGGGGCACATACCAAAAAAAAAAAAAAAAAAAAAAAAAAAACTTCCTCAAAACACTTATGATCTTACTGACAAAGGACATATAAATAGTCAATTGAATGTGATGGGATATGGTTATCATCCAAGTAAACACTGACAGTGATGATGATGATAGTGGTGGTGGTGGTGAAGGCTAATATATACTGAGCACTCACTTTCTATTACAGGTATCATCTGAGGTGCTGTGTTTGGATTATTAATTTAATTCTTAGAATAATATGAATTTAGGTGCTACTGTCATTTCCATTATACAGTTGAGAAATGAGATGCACCGAGAAGCTACTAAGTTGCCTAAGAACACACAGCCAGCAAGTGGTAGAACTGGTAGGGCAGGTCTGTGCACTCAGCATCCATCCAGGTCTCAGAAGGAAGTTCAGCAAAGCTTCCTGGGAAAGGAGGGAGAAGCTACAAGTTGAAGTGTCAACCATGCTATCTGAGTAAAGAAAGGGTAGGGGGGTATCCAGTCAGAAGAAAAAGAATGTGCACATACTGCACACAGTGGAGGATGAGTGTTAGTAGAAATGCACATAAACTTGGTTGTCTCTAACCTGGAGTGGGTGGTAGATGGCATCATTGGGATAAGAGACGGACAGTTGAGAAAGAGAGTGCCATTGAGGGTTCTATTCTAACTAAAAGGTTGGATATTTTAAATTGTGCCTATGGGAGGAAGGGAACCATGGTGGGATCCTAAGAAGGATGAAGAAAGTACAGGGTCAAATTTGCAGTTTTATTGAAGGAGAGTCTTTGCCCCTTGTTTGTTTGTTTGTTTGTTTGTTTGTTTGTTTGTTTGTTTCAGGCAAATGAGGTCCTCCAGACCTTCCTGCAGTCACAGGCTGCAACAAAGGAATCCATCCTGCAGGCAGACCAAGCCCTCAGTGCTGAGGAGAAGGCTCTGGCAGGTACAGGGCAGGGCTCTGAGCACAGGGGGAGGGGAGGTTCCTGCAGTGCCTGCAACAGATGTGAGCGAATCCCCCCTGAAACAAGGCGCTTTCTGTCCTTCTGCCCAGCAACTTGACTAAACTGAAAATAACCAGGGGAATTCTGGTAGCTTATTCAGCCAATTAATGCCTCTCCATCACATTCTGAAACAGAGATTCTTCTTACCATTTTAAAATCATTTTAGTCTTTCCTGGCCAGTGTGACTCAGTGGTTGAGCACCATCCCACATACCAAGAGGTCGACAGTTCAATTCCCAGTCAGGGCACCTGCCCAGGTTGTGGGCCCGATCCCCATTGGGGGGCAAGCAGGAGGCAGCCAATCAATGTTCTCTCTCATTGACATTTCCACCTCTCTCTTTCCCTCTCCCTTCCTCTTCCTCTAAATAATAAAGAAAAAAATTTTAATAAAAGTATCATTTTAGTCTCTGAGCTCAGGAAGGTAGAGCTGAGCACAGCTTATTTTCTTTCCTTTTGGGGAACAGCTGTGAATGCCAAGAATCAGAAAGCTGAGAAGGAACTGGAACTGCTAAGACAGAAACAGAAGGAGGAGCAGGAAAAAATGGAGGCTCAAGACAAAAGCTTCCAGGAAAATTTAGTCCAACTGAAGGAGAAGATTAGAAAAGGAAAAGAAAACCGACTGACAGAGCAGAAAAGAATGCTGGAGCACAAGCAGAAGGCAAGTCTGGGTGTGTCTTGGGCAGGCCTACAGGACAGTAAGCTGGTTCCTCATGAAGGGAAGAGTAAAAGTTTCAACTAAAGTCATAAATCCTCAATGAAATCCAAAGGCATATGATTAACCAGATCATTTTAAAGCCCTAAGTCTGTAAGACTCAGTATCTTCTGTAGTATTAGAGTTTGCAGGGTACAAATAACATGTCCCAGGTTCCTGAACTTCTGTTTGTGGTCATTATAGGGTCTCATGCCCCCAGGTGAATAGGACCTTAGTCCTGTAGTCCTTAGGATGTTTGCACAGTCGCCAGAGTCTTAATGTAGATCCATCTGGTTGAAAATATCAGATTGTGCCTGATATGATATCTAGGATGCTGAAAGCTCTAATGTTGGCTGCATTGGTTTCCACATCTACTTCACTCTGTAAACCCAAAGCACAACACATTCTTTGTCCCAATCTGGAGTTTGATAACCAGTGTTCTGTAGAGAGTCAGAAGTTCCCATTATGTGTTACTTGTGTATAGTCATCCTACTGCAGTGGAACCAAGAAATAATTCGAATTAAACTTCCATCCTTCCCAAAGAGCATCGTTAGGGCTGAAACACATTCTAGGCATAGTTATCAGGTCTGACCCAGCCCAACTCCTCCCCACCTGCAGTGAGATCATGCTGAGGGAGCTTAGGAAGCTGTAAACCATGGATACTCCCACTACCAGGTCCATATATTTGGAAACTTGGACAAACTCATCCAAGAGCATCTAAGTTACTAGTGAAATAGAACGTGTTTAGCTGCCGTGGTTGTTAAACACAAAGCGCTGTTAATTGGTATTTTCAAAAGGGACTTCTCCTTTATTACAGATCCAAGAAGAACTACTTGTTGAGGGATTTGAAAAGGAATCTGAGGAGATGGGGAAAGAGATAAATCAACTTAAAGAAGAGATTGAAGAAACTGAAAACATTTGGCCTTCAATATTTACAGAGCTCTTTTATATGGCAGCAACCTTAATGCTGGAGCAGTCTCTGGTCCCGTGAAGAAAATGGGCAGTTTTGTGTTTTTTTTAGATAGGCTGAGAATTTTTAATAAATACATTATAAAAGTCTCCTTATGTTATAATAGCATAACACGGTGGTTCATTTTATAAGCATGTGTGCCATGGTAGTTTTAGCCAAGAAAGGTTTAAAAACGAAGTGATTACCAAAGAATATCAGGGCCTCATATACCAAGAAAAAAAAAAAAAACAAGCTTAATTTTGATTGGATTAATTAAAGAAGTGATAAACAAGTTAGAAAATGACTTATTCGTAGTAAAAGTTTAAATAAAGCAAAAGAACAAAAAGTATGATGAAGAAAACACTGGCCATCTGTATTGCTGTCATGGAGATGATTTCTTCAGCTATAATGATCCTTAGAAATCTGGGAGCAAAGAGCAACAACCTCATTTTTTAAATGGGCAAACATATAAGAGATAAAAGCATTTAACTTTACTGATTATAAAGAAATGCAAAATAAAGCTAGGTACCTGTGTCACCTGTCAGATGGTCTAGAAAGGACAGTTTTGCTAGGTCATTAGGTTGGCAAGAGCTCCAGGAAACTGGCAGTCTCTGATACTTGCTAGTGAGATTGGAAATGGAGGCAAACACACATCAAAATTTTAAATGCAAATAGTATTGATCTATCAGGTCCACCCTTAGGAATAAAACTTAAGATTTATTTACCCACATTGTAAATGACATATGTAATAGTATATTTATGGCAGGATTGTTATCGTTCCAAGTGGAAACAACTTTAAATTCCCTCTGCCAGGTATTGGTAAAGCAAATCTTGAGATGTACTCACAAAGAAATACTCTACAGTCACTAAAATAAAAGCGGAAGCTCTACTTGTGTGAACATGAAGAAACCTACAAGATTTGTCATAAGTGAAAAAAAAGTGCAGAATGTGTGTATAGTGGTACTACTGAATTTAGAAAATAATGACTGCGTGCATTTATCATCTGTCTAAAAAAATATAGGGTAAAATAGTATCCATCGACACAGCAGGAATGAACGTGCATAGTTGAGGCAAGATATGAAAGGATAACCTTACATTATATATTTTCCTGTGCTTTTTATATCTTGTATGGATTATTGCTTATTTAAACATAAATAAATACAATTACTAGATTGAAATTAAAATAAAAACACATGGAAAGACAAAGTTCTCTTGAAAGGATCAAAGTCTTTAATAGGACTAGAAATACCGCAAGCCAGCTCAATAAAAAGAATCTGCTTATTACAGCAGGAAACAGAAGTGACAAGATGTGCATCTAGGTTTTGCTGTCCTTTGGGCCTCTCAGTAAGGTCTTGGAATTTCTCCCTAATTTATGTTCAGATATAAAATCTACTAGGATATTGACTGGCATGGTCTCCAAATCCTGCTCCACATTAATAAAGATGGTGAATTAGAAGGAAAAATTTTTCAGGGTCAGTTCAACATTTTAAGAATTCTTTTCAGCAATGTAGGGCTTACGAGTCTTGTGTTTAAATGAAATGCTTGTAGTTCCACACGCTGTATGTATTCTCTTGACTCTGGACATAAGACACAGGCTTTCTGCCCTGGCCGGTTTGGCTCAGCGGTTGGAGCGTCCACCTGCGGTCCGGAGAGACCCGGGTTCGGTTCCCGCTAAGGGCATGTACCTCGGTTGCAGTTTGTCCCCGGCCCTGGTTGGTCGTGCGGGTGGCAGCCACTCGATGTGTCCCTTTCACATCGATGTTTCCCTCTCTCTCTCTTCCTCTCTCTCCCTCCCACTCTATCTGTACAAAAAATGGAAAAATGTCCTCAGGTGAGGATAAAAAAAAAAAAAGGACACAGGCTTCCTTAAGTACCCCGGCTGCTCACCCTATATCCTTTATCCGCAAGCTTCTGTTCCTTCTAACCCTCTGCTATTTCCCGCACTTGAATAAGGTTTCTTCCTTGGGCTAACATCTGCTGTGAGGTCCCTGCTGCCACAGCACTTTTAGATAATTGTGAAATTAAAATGACCTGCTTACAGCTGTCTCCGTGACTGCCTCATGACCTGATCCACTTGATGCTCTTCATCATCATGTATTTGGCTGTACCACATACACACCAGGTGTGCAAAAAGTAGGGGTGAATAGGTGAGCTGCCATCCAACAGGGCCCAAGCAGAGCAGAGAGATGGGGGGACAGGGGGGCGTGGACATGCAGGCAGTGTCCTGCTGGCCCCAATGTGGATTTTCATGGTCAGCATCCTTGACTTGGCCAGCTGGTATTTTTAACAGTGAATTCCTGTGTCTGGGTGGTTGGCGTCAGCCAGGGCCTTGAAGGTCAGTCTTCTCCTTAGTTTCACACAGGAACTGAAACTGCTGCACTGTGAAGTACACTAAATAAACTTTTAACATGTAAGCTCTAGTTTTGAGAGAAAAGTCAGGTTAGAGTGACAAACTGGGTTTAACATTTACTGGGATTAATATAGGTAGCTTTAAGTATAGCATATTAACTCCCCATTAAAAGAATGCTCAGTTGCCTATCATTTATCCCCATTCAAAGCCACTGAGATCAGAAACCCCAGACCCACTAGTATTAGAAGAATGTTCTGCATACCGCACATCTGGATGGGAGGGAAGGGGAGGAGGGGCAGTGCTGAGTTCCGCTTCCCCATCAAATCTCCCCAACACACATGACCAACCACAGGAACTAGAAACAGTTAACATAAGATTAGGCTTCAGGGAAAAGGCCTCTGCCATACTTGAAAATTCATAAATAATTGTTAGATTATTGAAAGAATCCAAGGTCTACGCAAGGACGTTTCCAACCATTTGGGAGGAAGGCAGTTCACAATGTGCTCTCACGTTATGAGAAGTGAGCTGTGGACACAGCTGCATTCCCTTCACTAACTCCTCACCTGGGGCAGTAGCCTCTTCACTTGCTACTGTCTAGTCCTTACGACACTGGCTTATTATGGGAATTCTTCGGTGGTACAGAGGGGATAAGATGCAGGAACTCCTTGGAAATACAAAGGAAAACGGAGGAGAGTTTTCTCCTATGAGACAGGAAAAGCGTAACAAAGCAGGACTGACAGAGCTGTGGGAGGGCTTCCTCTGCCCTCTGCTGCCGCCGATGAAATGCTGCCAAGGAGCAAGAACACTGAGCAGTGTCTGCTGCCTGGGGGAGCTCTTCTCTGTGAAACAAAAGCTCGCTCGGTGGTAGATGTCAGCGTCCATGGCAGGGTCTCTGGCCTTGAACTTAGTATATCAGGGGTTAGGTCGCTCTGCAGTGCGGAGAAGCAGGGCACCAGGGGCAAGCCCAGGTCACACACAGCTGGCGGAGCTGCTGGGCCTGCCATACCTATGTCTTGTTCATACTAGGGTATTGGGGACTGATCAGTTCTCCTAACCACATAGCTTAAGCCCCACTGACTTCATTATTTCAACTGACACTTGCACCAATTAATAAACTCTTTGTTGTTTGTTTAGAAAAGTATTTCCTGTACTAAATCACCCAATGTAAGGTGTTTATTCTAGATTTGGTCAATTCACATGCTTATTAATCACCTCGAGGCCATCACTGGAGTTAGCATGTAAACATACACAGCACAGTGTTTATCCTGAATTATTTTATTTTATCCTCACCCGAGGATATTTTTCCATTTATCTTCAGACAGAGTGGGAGGGAGGGGAAAGGAGAAAGAGAAACATCGATGTGAAAAAGACACATCGACTGGCTGCCTCCTGAACCCCAACCAGGGCTGGGGACAAACCGCAACTGAGGTTCATGCCCTTGTCTGGAATCGAACCCGTGACTCTCTGGTCCATGGGCTGATGCTCTAACCACTGAGCAAACAGGCCAGGGTTATCCTGAATTATTTTAAATTTAACTACTTCCTGAATAAAATAATTTTCTCCAGTTCCAAACTGCTATTGTCCTGAGCTTTGTCTCTATTTGCTCACCAGGATAAGTAAGGCACTTTTATTGGGTCCTGCAGCTTTATCGATTGACCCTGCTCTCTGTCCAAACCAAGCAGACTAGTAAAACTTCTTATTTCAAGTCTCCTTTACTATCTGAAATACTTTAATGTAATAACTTATCTGTGCACAGTGGAACATTAATATATGACAGACATTATACATCATCATTGATTACTAAATACTTGTCTAAGAAATGAATGAACAATAAATTACCATACACAATATGTAGCAGAAAATGTTTCCTGATAAATGATTTCTATTTTTTAAGAGCATCTACTTTACTGCGGTGTATTTGTTTTTCTATTATTTTAAAATAATTCACAATCATCAAAAAGGTTCAAGATGTTACCAGCAAGACAATGAAACCTGTTCTTGTCTTCTTGAAGGAAAAAATTTAATAGGAGACCAAATGCAGCAAGGTAAGCAAGTATTTATTGGCCGAAGCAAAAGCACACTCAGGACAGTGAAACAAGGAAGGACTTAGCGTAGAAGCAGCATCAGGAGAGCCTAGGCTGGGCTGCTTTGGCTCACCGGAAGTCAGAGAGAAAAGAGGGCCTTGGAGACAGGTTCAGGGAGTTAGCGTGGGACTAGCTGCTCCTGCCCATTGCCTCCCTGGTTGTAAGTCCCATGGGGACTCTTATAATTTAGGGAGATGCATGCCTGTGGGGGAAGAAGAGGGAGAATGGTGTGCCAGGTCAGGGCACATGCCTGGGTTTCAGGCTCAATCCCCAGTAGGGGGCACGCAGGAGGCAGCCAATTGATATTTCTCTTTTACATCGATGTTTCTATCTCTCTCTCCCTTCCTTTCTCTCTCTCTAAAAAATCAATAAAAACATATTTTTAAAAAGACAAATACTTTATGATTCCATTTACACGAGAAGAATTGGTTGGTAAGAGAATCAATGCACTGAAAAATAATTCGCTATATTATTAAAACAAAATATAAATAATAGTCATTCAAGTGTGGTACTCAGTTTCCTAGGATAATAGACCACAGAACAGAATGGATAGTTGAGAAATAAATTTAAACATGAATAAAAACCACATTCAGGCCACTTTTTTTTTTTTTAAGCTAAAATTTAATTTATTTCCTACCACTGACATCAACATAACTTTCTTGCAGGTAAAACTTTAAATGTTCCGATTTGAGCTCTTGAGACTCGCTAATCAGTAATCAGGGCTCCTCCATCTTGCTGTCGTTCATTCCTCTTCTTTCATTGTTTGGGTGCAAGTCAGTCTCGCCCACTAGATTACGTTGTTTTTAGGGCAATGACTA